AAATACAAGTGTATTTAACTATTATTCTCAAGCACTCGCTCGTCCAACTCAACAGCCTAAGTAATGGCTAATCACTGGTCGGCTCTTCACGGTTAAATCAATACTGCTCTTCAACGGTCAAAATCAGACTAACTCAGTTTCGGTGAGCGACTTCCTATTTATAGGCTTCACACGGATCTTTCAAGGAAAATCCGCTTGCGTCATAGATCGTGATATTAGTAGGTTTCTCCAATAATTTCCATAACAATCCATATGGTCACAAACTCGCCAAAAATGATTGCCAACTCATCAAAAATGATGCAACTTGGCTTTATTGCCACAATTTTGCCAAGTTTTCATTAAAAATTCCAAAATGAAGGAAAGGCGTTTTGGGAATATTACAGTTTTAACAAAAATAAATACAAAAATAGAGTAATAAAAAGTATTAACACCAGACTTAAATTATTTATAATATTTTAAACATTCATTACATAAAATTAGTAACAGTATTAACCTTTAAAACCCGGGTTTTCCCAACTGGGGCCCCTGGGGGGGAGTGCTAACCCTAGGGGGGCGCGAGTTTTTTAAATGTCGAAAACAAAGATTATTTTCAAAATTTTTAAAATTTTACTGAAAAGAAAACAAATAAAATACATTCTGTCATAATAAAAATTTAAAAAAAATACACATTTCCCTGATTCAATACATTAAAAAATATACCAGTACTACGCTATGTATTTTATAATTATTTTAACGATACTAAGTTAAGAAAATGTTAAATAATTATCAATGACCCCATGGACTTGTCATATATAAAATTATTTGCAAAAATTAACACTTATCTTGATGATTTGTACGGATTATAATTAAACCCTTAGATGCCAATTAAAAATTACATGATCCATCCTCCCCAATCCACCACTGTTTTTAACATGAGGCAGCGGGGGTGTAGGGGGGGGGAAAATAAAAAAAAGAAATCATCTGGAAATAACAAATATTTCCCAAACACTGTAAATGTCATTTTATTGTATTCCAAAGTCTTCGAATAATTTTATGGATAGCAGTTCACAGAAAAAGGTCGTGCTTCGGAAAGTCGTTTATATACGTCCGGGCAACAATCACTGGCTGAGCGAACGTTTATATTCCCAACGGACAAAAGGTTAAAGTCGTATTGTGTTTATCGTCAAAGTATAGCGTAATTGAATTGAATTAATTGTCATTGTATGCGGAGGGGAGAGGGCGCGATGAAAATGAGGATTGAATATTGGGTCGCAAATATTGAAAGTTTGAGAAGCACTGATTTACACGGCTTGCCCGTACGACGTACGGTGGCCGTAATTGGTTTGCTGGACGGGCACTGATATTTCTTTTTTTTCTTTGTAAAATTTAGTACTTGTATTTTGAAAAGGTGATGTAGTTTCTCTATGGCAGTGTTCTGCAACCTTTTTATCGCCGCGGACCGGTCAACGTTGGATAATTTCCCCGGGGGCCCCCTGAGGGGGGAGAGTTTATTGTTTATATTTCAGATTGTTTTGATTTAATAATTTTATTTTAATTTTGTAGTTAAACGTGCTTTCAAAATAAAATATAGCTACACCAAAAATGAATATAAAGTGATTTAACAAGGAATATAAAGTTATTTTCATAAAAAGTATCCCAAACCTAAGGAAAATATACCGCAGTAAATAAAATGGAAATAATTTTATGTTTCTTGTGAGGACCAGTAGTATTTGAACCACTGTAGACCACTGGTCTATGGTACTGAAATGCCTTCCGTTCGGCAATTTTGTGTGTGTGTGTGTGGAGAAGGGGGAAATAGTATGGTGTGTATTTAGTTATAAACAATGAAAAAATATGCTTTTTTTAAAAGCATTTTGAGAAAAAAAATTGACTGCTTAAGGAGTTCATGTTGGATAACTTTTAAATCTGAAGAAATATTCCAAATTATAGTCCTATTCTTTATCATAAAACGAAAACAGCATTAATAGCTAAGAATGAAACAACAATTATTCATGCTATATTTGTAGAGACTAATTTTATCTAACTCTTCACACACTACACTTCGACACATGTTTCTTTATATTTTGTCAAGACTAAAAATATATGGTATATATGTAAATTTTGTAATTGTTAATAAAATACTTTTTATTCATCCACTCAAGTTCAAATACATTTTTTAAAACTTGTAGTGTAACACTTGATGTTAATACAGTTTTTTCAAATAATTATTCATTTTACGGTTATTAATAAAGTGTTACAAAAAGAATAGTCCAACACCATATACAAAAAGAAAACTCTCTCGGCGTGTCTTGTAGAGCAATGGATAGCGCGCGTTGGACTTCTATTTCAATGGTCGTAGGGTTTAAATCCCACCTGAGATGGCATAATTTTTAAGAAGGTGATTTCGTTTTACTATATTGTTTTATTGGAATAATTAAATTTAATTAATGAATAAAAAATGGTAACAAACAAAAGTAATAGTCCAACACCATATATAGAAAGGAAAATAATTTTTTTGTTTTGCTACTAAATATTGTGATTCGGTTATATGTACATATACATATCCATATTAACAGTAATTATTTAATAAAAAGTACCTAAAATAAAATTTTTCTTCGTTGATCTAAGTAGGAATTGACTTAAATTTTTTTTTTATATTATTTGTTTAAAATTTGATGAAGATCGCTTTAGGGCAGTGCTTCTCAAACTTTCTATATTTGCGCCCCAGTTTTCAATCATAATTTTCATCGCCCCCCTCCATACAATAACAATGTATTGAATTCAAAAATAATATACTTTGACGTAAAGCTGCAATAACACGTTAATTATAAATCGTACAAATTATCAAGATAAGTATTAAATTTGATACATAAATTTATAACAAGCCTATAGGGTCACTGGTAATTATTACACTTGTTCCTATAACTTAGTACTGTTAGATTAATTATGAAACATTTATAAGTGTATTATATCAGTGCAAATGTGTATTTTATTTTTTATTGTATCAGAATGTATCTTGTTTTGTTTCCTTTCAGTAAGTTAATAATTTTTTTTAAATAATATTTTGCTTTAGACTTTTTGATATAACACACGCCCCCCTTGTAGGGTTATCACGCCCCCCAAGGGGGCGTGCCCCACAGTTTGAGAAACACTGCTTTAGGGGTTATTTGAGCCCTTCTCCTAAAGGATAAAAATTGTACAAAAAAAATTCTCTTCCTCCCAATATTTTTTAAAAAATTATGCTAAAAATTTGGAATTTGTGGTATTTAATAGCGATGGGTGGCGTAGTTGGTTTTTCGCTGGCCTTTTGCACCCAAGGTAACAGGTTCGACCCCACGCAAGTCGGTGGATTTTCATGAAGCAGAAAATCGTATGACTATGATTCGTATGATTATACGGCATGTAAAAATCCCCAGAGTGTCTGTTTGGCTTAGGTGCTCTCGGCCAAATTAAATCCTGGTACAGGTTTAAGGCATTAGCCTGTGGGTGATACCTTACTTCTTCGTTATCCTCGTGACCTAGGGGTGTGGGAGCGAATGAAGAACCATGCGTAGCCATAATCTTAATATATCTTTATTAAGATCTTAACTTAAACACTATACAATGCTAATATTTATATTTTAATTTAGTGGATCTGAGGTGAAGAAAAACACAATACGTATTACCAAATAAGTGCGACCTAATTACTATATTTAACTATACCGCCTATTCCTAACCTCAGAATATACACAGTTTCTAGTATTAATTTGAACGATCTTACTACTATATCCTAGGTAATCAATAAGTCACTCGAATCCTCAATGAAGTTATGGTTTATCTCGTGTGGAATGGTATCCATCTTGACTTGAACACACTGGCACGAATAGCTGAGCACTTGAATATCGGATAACTTCTCACTTATAACTCTGCTCATCGCAGACTAGCATAATCACTTCCCAAAAGCCACACCGCATACGCTAAACTTCTGCTATTTAAAAGGTTCTTAATTGGCATAATTACGCTTCGCTTTTGGATTTGGTTGGAAAGAATTAGTCTTTTTCGGCCCCAAATAACTCAAGAGGACAATTAATAGAAAGTGCGATGAGCCCGTCACATAGGTTCGCATCGTCAGAGCTCAGGTGCCTCCCTTTGGGGAAGAAACTGGGTGTCAAAATTATCTGTAGTGATTGGTATCCACCTATAGGGTGCCGCACTAAAAAGAGATACTAGCTTCCGGGGAATGTACTAGGTCTGCAATGGTAAAATACCAATCCGCAGCCCATTTGAAATTTAAAAAAAGGTTATTAGCAGATGCATAATATTGTCATCCAAATTACTACAAGGAATTTGTATTGATTTGATTGACATATTCTGCCTTTTAGAAGAAATATATCAGTTTAGAGGAGCTGACAGATTTCAACTTGCTTCGTCATTTTCGAATAGTATACGTGTATATATTAGTTTTAATTCGAAAGCAAGAAACCATTTGGAATTTCAAGAATAATTGAAAATGCATCAAAAATGAAAAAAAAAAACATAAATAACTCAATTAATCTTATATACAAATTTATTTAAATCAGGAGTATTTTAAACTTGCATATGAATAATTTTGATGAGGTGTGAATGCGTTTGGAATTATAGACTATTTGCGTAGGTGTATAAAAAAGAAAATAACGAAAAAGAAACTATGAAATCATATTTTTTTATATTCCAATCAAATATGCTCTTGTAGCATGAGTAATAGTCCAATTTGATAAAACCCTTTTTTGAAACCAGTAAAGCTTTCACAAAAAGCTCAGTTCAAAGAAAAAAAAGTTATGTAATGTGTCTAGGGAGACCGAGGATCTATGATGAATATCCCATGCGCCAACCGTGACCCATAAAATAATGATAATAATAATAAAAATCCAGGTAGAAAACAGATCAGAAAAGATATTTATTATTTTGAACCAAATAAAATTTCAGCTTTATTGAAAAAAAGTTAAAGAAATTTAAAAACCAAATATAAAACACAAAAATGGTTTCAGAAATCTATAAAAAAAATACATTTGGGACCCCCGATTTACCGAGCCTGTATGTAACGAATTCTTTTCTTTCCCCGATTAAAATAGGCAAAACCCCCTATTTAACGAATAATAATCTTCTAGTTAACGAATTTTTTCCCAAAACAGAAAAAAAAATCTTTGTTAGTTTGTGTTAGAAAAATTGGGTTTTTTTTTTGAAAAATTTCTTCGGCCAAGGGGGGTTTTGATGTAACAAATGCTGATGATTCATGAGTGTAACCTATCGTGAGATTTTTTGAATGGGACGGGAAACCCCTTTTCTTATCTCATCTCACCGACAACCGGTGGAATATTTTAAGTTTTTTTAATGTTTATGTAACATCAGATGACGGACTCCCCTATCAGTGCAAAAAGCCCCGGAGACGGGATTTTTGGAGTCACGGGAACAGAGATTCTGATGCAAAAATTGAGGGGATGAAACCCCTTACCCAAAACTGTTTATTTTTAATGCTTTCATTTTTTGGGAAACCGTGAAACAAAACCTTATGCAGCGGGGACGTAAACGATACAGTATTTTTTTTTTTTACAGAAAGAAATTTTTTCTAATCAGAAATTAAAACGATTTTCAAACATCTATCAGTTAGTGTTTTAAAATTTCCAATTAACTGGTGCGTAAAAATTCACTTGTTCTATTTTTAGCTATTACATGAAAAAGGTAAAAATTTTCAACTGTGGATATTTTGTGTGTTGTTGCTTATCGTAAAATTTCCAAAAATTTGTGTGGACCTCGATAAAAAGAATAACCCCGATTTAACGAACAAAATGTTCGATCTCGATGGATTCGAAAGGGGGGCCCGACGGGTAATTAGGGGCCCATTTTAGGCTTCAAAATTTAAAAAAAACCCCACCTTTTAAATTTTTTAAAAGTTTTAAAATTTAGGGGTTTTTTAAATTACCCTACAAAAGTTGACGTACGTGCACGGAATTTAATTATAAACACATCAGACTCTGTATAACAAAAGTTGATATGGCTTCTGTGATAGCATGATTGATGTTCGTAAAATAATTTTTTTTATGTATACTTTTTGAAAATTCCTTAAAAAAATTGTATAAATGCTAAATTCAATTAAGCATTGCTTTGATTCAAAAATGCATGCCGATTTTTGTACTAATAGTAATAGTTCGGAAAAAATATTAAAGCATTTGGCACAACAGGATAAAAAGACTTAGCATTTTAAATGAAGACAAACTACCGTAAAAACCGGCGTATAACGCACACACACATACACCTATACTTTCGTTTTTTTTTCTTTTTTTGTTTTAGGTAAAATTGCAAAAAACGGGCATCCTACATTTTAAATAAGAACTTGAAACATACGTATGTAAATGCTTTGTTGGTTTGAAGTCATTTATTCGTGGTCTTATCTCAGGCGTTTGAAAAAAATAGCATATTTCTGGAATTATACAACTGTAAATTCATAAGCCACGTCATTGCTTTTAAATAAGTGAGTGAGTGAATATTAACGTCGTACTGTTCAGCTACACGGGGCTTTTGGCGACGGACCACGTAATTTTGAACCATGGTCAAATAACGGGGCGACACCTGAGCTGGCACCCTCCCCCTCCTAACTACCACAAACCCTACCAATGGGGGGAACGTTTCAGCCCGAAGTTTGGGGTGCATCTCCCCCCCCACACGGAGGGGGGTTTAGTGGTAATTGGGGTCAAACTCGTGAGACAAAGCCAGCCATGATTGATACCTATACCACTCGGCTACCGCGGCCACTTGCTTTTAAATAAACGGTATTTTGATCTTTGTAAAAGTCTAATTTTGTTATGTTCATCTCTTTTTTTTGTTTTCATTTTTTTACCCCGGTTTAAAGTGCACCCCGTCAATTTCGATCTTTTTTTTTTGAAGGGTTTAAAAGGGCCCCTTGTACACCCGGGTATTACAGTAATTATTTTTTATCTTTCTGAGATATTTCAGTTTAAAGTTTTGATTTGCAAATGTAGGATGTGAATAAAAACGAACACACACACACGTAAAAGTTATCGTAATTCTGGGTTTTTTTAAACTTAGTTCTCAAGTTTTGAGAGATTGTAGAAAAGTATATCAAGGATAATTTAATCTAAAAAAAAATTAATTTGATTTTTGTGACTGATTTTTGTTAATTGAATCGTATTGTGTCCCCTTAAGGTATCTGAATACATTTGGAACCGTGATTTTGAAAAAGCGTATATAAAATGTTGCGGACTTTAGTCCGCGGAGGTGTATGGGATCACCGAATGAAGGAAAATTTTTAAAAAAATCAAAAACTTTTTTTTAGACCCAACCAATTTCTATCAAAATGTACCCCTTTAAAAAAAGGGGCCTTAAAACTTAGTTTTCTAACTTAAAT